AAATGAAAACTCTTTTGGGAGCCTTCCAAAAAGAATCATTAAGTAAAAGAAATAGGTTTTGTAAATATTTTTTTTCTCTTAAAATGAATGTGCATTCGTCTTTGGACTTTTACCAGGAAAATACACACTGTCACCTGTAAAAGAAGAATCAAAGTGGAATACCCACCTCCTATCTTGTAGCATTTATCTTACTTATCTTACAACATTTATTTTCTAAAAGAAAAAAAACAACCGCAATCTTTAATAATCTAAAAAAGCTGGCACCTGCAGTACAGTACAGTACATGCAAATTAGAGTGGAGTAAATTAATAATAATAAAAACATTTAGAATCATTAAAATCATTATGTTACAGATACATCAGATAAATGTGTCCTCCAACAGATAAATCCTTTTACAAATATGCTCAAATAAAAATCTTTTTTGCCTTGTGTTTTAAAAACGTCACACATTTAAATCCCCATATATAAGATCAGATAATTTGAATGGCTATAATGTTGAATTGATTTAACCACTAACACACTAAATGTGTTTGTACTGTATATTACTACATATGTATCATATAATACAGTGTGTGAACCATTCTAGGTGTCAACCATTATAGTGATCCTGAGATTCAAGTTGGAATCTGGGAAACATTTCTATACAGTATGTTATTTCTTTAGATAACTACTAAAAATCTCAGGATTAACATTGCTTTAAAGAGGACAATACTGCTATGTCAAGTGGAAGCTATCTTCTCTTTGTAATTGTCTACAAAATTTAATCTGGTAGCTTCACAAAATGCAGTTACTGGATGAAAACATTTACCAGCATACTATACAGTATATCACCGCTGAGAAAATAAATGAAAACTGTATTTGATTTCTTTTGCTTTTAAATTTGTATAGAAAAGGATGTATTTTTAAAGCTGTGCCCTTTTAAGAAGAATATTTGTTTTGTTTCAATGTACTTCAGTGTCTTTGCCTTTGGCTTGTGACTAAGCAAAAAATATCTAATTATTGCAAAAAAAAATGTCTTCTCACAGCTGCGTGAATGCCATACATATTGTTTATAGAAGATAAATCCCAAGAGGATAATTTGCCAGCACTTAACTGTGTACAGAATATATGATATTGTATAACTGATAAAATATACTTTCTGAAATGTACTTTGAGTTCTGATCAAGGTTGTTTATAAAATTCTCTTTGCAGATTCTTGCTTATACACCATTATTAATCACTGCTATAACTCACAGAGAGTGCTGAACGGCACTTCTATTCAAATTAGATATAAAGTTAAAAAATAGGGTTGAAAATGCCGAAAGATAAAATAGATGGTTTCTGCTAACTATGAGACCAGATTGATGTTTAAACTGGGATATCTTCACTGTGCACATGGGCATAATTTGGCAGAATTGTGATGCACAGTGTTCCATTTCATTGGCATTAACTCACTGGAAAAAATGCAGCAAAAACAGAGTCAACAGAGGGGCAAAGTGAAGATAAACAGCCGACACTTATCACACTGAACTCAACATTAATTCAAATACTGATGAAACTGTATCATTACACACGTTAGTTTTATTAAGCACCAGAACCCCTCTGACAACAGAAAAAAATGATTTAATTACTAATTAAATGCACAATATCAGGTTTTAATTAAAACAGTAAGCAGAATTTAATAGGATTTCCAGGACTTTTCAGCATGGATCATATGTACAGGACATGTTAAGGCACAACATTTTTTAGAAAACATTCAATAGCTATGAGGGTCACATCTCCAATAAGCTACTTCATGTTTGACATACTGTGTCTGGTTATCCTTTGCAAACCCAAGTCCAATTACTGATTTACGTGCTTTTTAAATCAAAAGCGAGGAGCTCAGACTTTTTAAGGGCCTGTTAGTGAACTAAATAAAACACTTGGAGTTTTGAATATAGTGTTTAGACAGGACAGTCAATTGATTGACCAACCAGATAATTTTTTGTATTGTCTGGTCAACCCGTTTGTCCCAGACCACAATCAGTACATGTCTATTAAACAATAATATCCATCCATCCATTTTCTAACTGTTTTATCCAATGTAAGGTCACGGAGGAGCCAGAGCATAACCCAGCAATCAATGGCTGCAAGGCAGGACACTCTCTGGATGGGATGCCAGTCCATCTCAGGGCACACACTGACACAGACACACACACTTACACTGGGGCCAATTTTCCCAGAATCCAATTTACCTACCAGAATATCTTTGGACTTTAGGAGGAAACTGATAACCCATGCAAAAACTGGGAGGAAATAACTCCACTTAAAACAATTATAGCCTTTGAGAGAAATAGTGTGCAAAATTAACACAATGTTCTAAAAGAGGTTTTACAATTTGATTTTAAAACCTGAGCATAAACTCTATAGGTTTAAATTAGATTCCACCTTTTGCTTTATACCCAAGCATTTTGTTTGCAATTTCTTTTGCTTCCCCTTAGTGTTTTGATAAGAATATAGAAGAATCTACATATACATCCAGACATGTTTTATGAGTAGCTTCCTGCAACTCAGGATCATCCGTGTAATATGTATAGTATGTTAAAATTCATTTTCCAAGTGTTGTCCTAATTTTAACTTTTTGTAGGTCCTTTGCCATTGGTTCTGTGTATGCCACTCCTTTTTGTGGCGTCTGCCAATTTAACTCATTTTTTTGACTACACCTTATTCTAATTTATTGACATAAACAGCCAGCCCAGTGGGCCTAAAACAGATCCCAGTTGTACACCACTGCTTTTGCATTTACCGGATATGAGGTTATGTGTCTTGTGATAATGGGTTGTTATCTGTTACATAGTGCGCATTGCATGTGACAACATCACCATGAATTCCTATATGGGACTTATGAGATTTTGAAGGTTTATCAATAGCTTTCTGAAACCTTAATGTACCATATTATATATGTAGATTACATCATATATACAGATACATATAAATGTTTTACTGTTGCCTAAACCGTTCTGGTTGTTTATTTGTAGAAATATAGTATGGTTATCTCTTAAAAATCTCTTAAAAGTTATCATTTCCATTATTTTGTAGTATCCTCACTTTTGCTTTCAGAATTATCAGTAATAGAAGACTGATTGATTTCTTGTTACAATGTTACATTTTCAGTCCCATCCTATGGATTGTCCCCTTAGTGAGTGTTATAATATCTACAAATACCATCATTCATGTTAATAAGTACAACTGCAAACAAAACAAAAACAAAACAGATCCTGTCAATCTATTGTTTCCCTCAGTCTCTATTATGCTAAAGTCACCTGACAATCATGAACCTTTATCTATAACATGGCATATGTTATCAATGTCTTCTGCTGTGAAACCCTGCATAAATATTTAGCATGATTAATATTTCTTAATCTTCTTTGGTTATCCATCCCTTATCACCTTATATAGTACTTCAGCTTTTACAGTTTACAGTACTGATAAAATACTTGTCTTTGTTTTACCTCAGTCGCAATATTCTTTTCTGTCACACTTGCCTATTCTACTACATTTCTTCTACAGTAGCTGTGCCTGTGTGATGGTGTGCATGGAGAGGCTTTGGTTAAAGCCACCTATCGGAGTGAAATTAGACACAACTTAATTACTTAATTGAGTAATTGGCATTGAATAAGAATGGAATTCCACAGGTGGAAAAAGCATATCTGATTGGTTCTGTGGGTAAGTGGCCACCCTGTGGATTTATTATCAAGTGTATATTAGCAGCCAAGAGGAAAAGAGCTGGCAGGCTGTGTATAGGCTCTTGCAAGTATGGCAGCGAGTGAGAACTCCAAAATTAATCTCTAGATAGCACACGTGTAGTCTTTTGGCTCCTGTGCTTTACCATCACCAGGCTTGCAGTGTTTGTCAGAGGGTCTAATAGGAGTGAAAGTGTGAATGAAGACCTTGCAATGACTGAAATTAAACATTTATGATGATTGTTGAAAGGGTCAGAGGGATTTGTAGCTCAAGCGCTGAACTATTCCACTATTTAGTTTATAAGGTTCCAGTGTCTAATTAGGTGTCTTCCCTAATGACATGACATTAGTTCTGATTTAAGGTAATGTTGGAAGAGTAAGTGTAAAGGGTTAACAAAGTTAGATACAGCATGGTGTCTCAGGGTAGAAAAGGGACAAGTTTGTGTTTCGTGTAATGGAGAGACAAGGAGTTGTTGAAATTCACATGTTCTGGCCTTCCAGAGAAAAAGAAGAGCTGGGCTGAAACTGGAAGAGGAATTTAAATGACTGTGCTACTTGAATGATTTGAGGGATGAATGAGTGAACAGTGTATTGTTCAGGATTCTCTGAACAGTTGTTGATGTAGGGACCTCTGTTTCTTGCTTTCAGTTCGTACAGCTAATTTTTACCCCTAACCCTGACATATAAGCACTGCGGAACAGGACTTATTACCTTAGTGTTACTCTAGGCTTTCGCAATAACAGCTGCTCCCTGTAACCATTTCTCTAAATACTCCTATTTAGAATAAATACTCCTAAACTGCTCTACATAAACACCTCCACCATATACTGTATACATGCATGCACACACATACTGTGTATATGTGTATAGTGTGGTTATCTCTAAAACAAAATGAATGTATTTTTTTGATAAACAGAATTGGAAACTGCCAACTTGTTAATAACAGACTTTGTATGGCTGGCAAAAGGTTGGATAGAGATGGGCTCCTTGGTAATTAAATAACTCTTCTAATGTTGCTGGTGTTTTAAAAAAATAAGAAAAGTGGTCAGCTTTAAGACACACTGAGGTGGACTTATCAAGATATTGGCATCTTTTTTGCCGTAAAACTAATTTACACTTTGAATTTCACCCAGCTCGTTAGAGTATATATCAATTCTTTTACTGCATTGAACTGGGATGGCAATCGTGGACACAATTAATATGGTAATAAGGTTTTCTGTGCTTTAGGCCATTATTAAGATATGAGCTGTCCTCGTAAAGTCTGTTGCAGCAGTAGTTAACAACTGTTGAGGCTGCTTGTTATTTTTTCACAGCATTTTGCTGATTTTATTTTAGAAGTGTGACATTGAAGGAGAAAAACAACAATTGCAATGCAGAAAGAACATGGTTAAAATGTCATCATGGCCATCCTCAAGTCACCCCAAGTTTAAGTTCCAGGTTACTATGGTTAAACTATTGTTTGCAATCCATTTTACTAGACAGTCTTTACTCAATGAGAAAATACAACTACTGTATGTAGCAGTTATACTACATACTGTAGTTTAATCTGCAGACTGATAATTGAATTTCTCAATATTGAGAAGTCCTAGAATTTTAATTGAAAATCAATTTAATTCTAGGACACTTTATGATTAGAATTAGTACTGTCGCTATACACAATACAACACATTGCTAATATATCAGTAACTGCAATATATCCATACAAATTCATCCATTTATCCAGCTTGGAAGGGTTACAGCAATCCAGAGCCAATCCCAGAAACTAAGGCACCAAGGCGGGTTACGTCCTACATGAAATGCAAGGCTCCCACTGGGCACACAAAGGCAGTCTTCAAAGACACCTACAGAAAATCCACATACACCTGAAGGAAAGAAGAAAAGTCCATGCAAAAAAGCATCTTCATCCAAAACTGAACCTAGGAACCATGAACTGTGAGGCTAACTATATCCTAGTGCCGCCACAAGAAATGCTCTTTAATGTTAAATACTGTACTGTACACACAGTTTAAGAAATCCCTGAGAACTGTTTTGTGAACACTGCAATTGCATTTTGAACAACATGGAGATGACTTTACTCAGTGTTTGGAGACAAAGATGTGGCCCACCCCTTGGATTCGCCCAGGGAGCTGCCCTCGTCATTCACACTCTGCCCTCCTGCAGCGCGTGGTCCTCCTCGCACGCGCACAGCTCAAGCAGTGAGGAGCAGCATGGCTGCAGCCAGGGCTTCCACATGGCGTGGCTGGGAGACAGCTGGCTTGGGGCACGCTCCAGCGAACTGGTGTGCTGAGCCACGGCATCCCGCACGACACCCAGGACTGCGTGGAAACTGGGCTCCGTTTCCGGCGTCAGAGGCCGACGCTCGGATGGGTCTTGGGAAAGCTCAAAAAGCAGTGGGGGATCGTGATACGTCACGTAAGCCTCAGTGCAAAAGCATGCATGTGTATGGAAACAACCAGTTGAATTTTCCGGATAGAAATCCGGAGTGAAGAAAAAGGCTTTCCAGACAGCACTGCCTAAAAAAAAAAATCATAAAGATCAACAATGGTGGAATTAGGCCATGAAACTTTGTGTTGATTTGCTTCTCATATTTAACTGTCAAGTCTTCATGAGTTATAGCAAAGACAAATTACAGTACAGTATTTTTTAGGTGAAATAGGATCCATATTTTTTCATCATAATCCCATTTTCAATTATTTTGTATTAAGAACTTAGAGCTGTTTAAATACAAAATACAAAAATACAGAATTACATACCTCTCACTCATATTATGCAAGAATGTATTTTCAATTCTTGCCTGGTGTAGCAAACAGTCACATTTACCTCTAGGTTTACTTTAATTAGAAATCTGTACATTCAACCTCAGGGATGAAATTTGCTCTTTTGAGACCCTCATTTCTCTAAAAAAGGATCACAGAAAATTGTGAAAATGACTTAATTTAAGGCTTACTGTTTCTAGGGTGCCACCGCACTGCACTTAAATATGCATTGCAGTAATGGAAGAGAAATTCATGGTCAGACTGCTGAACTTGACCTTGCAGCAGAGGCATCAGGTCATGTCCATCTATTACTCTAGGATGAGAGACAACGTCAGTCAAAAAATAAATGAATACATTGCATGACTGTAACATTATTCCATTTATCCGTTTTCTAACCGCTTCATTGAATTCATTGTTGCAGGGGAGCCAGAGCCTATCCCAGCAAGCAAAGGGCACAAGGACAGGACACCCTGGACCGGACACTGGTCTGTCCCACACAGACACAAATACGCACTCTCTCACACAAGGGCCATTTTCTCAGAAGTCAATTAATCTACCAGAATGTCTTTGGACTGTGGGAGAAAACCGGAGTAACCGGAAGAAACCCATGCAAACATGGGGAGGACATACAAATTCCACGCAGATAGCACCTTGGGTCTGTAACTGAACTAAGGCCACAGCACTGCAAGGTAGCAATGTTAACCACTCAGCTTTAATTTTTCTGTAACTACAGAAACAAAGAGTTTATCCAAAAAGAACAGATTAGCTGTGTTAGATCTTGTCCTACACTTAGTTAGGTAAGCCTTTGAATTGGTAATTTAGCTATTGTAAAAAGCCATTTATGAAACATTTAAGAATGAAGCAATTAATTATAAATAATTTAGAAGATGGACAGTGCTTTAAATACATCACTTTTTTGTTGTGTAAAATCTGCACAATTAAACACCTTTAATGGGTTAGGAGACACATTTCCTTAAATTTATGTTAACTGAAATTATGTGGTTTTGCCTGGTAGCTTTTCACTTACAATCAATTCTAAGTAATGACAATTAAGCTATTGAACGTTGAATATGAGCTTAATGGTTTAAAATTGCAAAGCAAGGAGGATGAACAAATAAAGTTTTCATAAGCAAGTTATAAAATATTTTCTCCATAAAAATAGTAACGCTTGTGTTGCACATTAAAACGTGTACAGTAGTTGTATTAAATTTCCACCCACATGCATTATAGGAATGATTTAATTCTGCAGGTGTTTTATATTATTCTGGGGTGAAATACCCCAGATCACTAGCAGGCAGTCAGCTGCAGGTCAGGTCAGAGTCTGAGCCTGTGCAGCAGCATTCAGAACCCAGGTTTACTGAAAATGAACCTTTAAATCAGTAAACTGTCATTTCATCATATTGTGATATTTCAAATGATTCATCCTTTATGATGCACTGTGATAAGAGCCTTACAGTATTACAGTACCTGTCATCTGGCATTTTTAACTCTGCAAGAGTGACAATGGTAGGGAAAATATCCATGTTGCTTGTGGGTTCATCAATTTGTGTTCCCGCAGGCAGCACTCCACTCCACTTAATAATCCCAGGGACACGGATACCTCCTTCCCAGTTAGTTGATTTTCCAGCTTTTTAAAAAAGAAATGTGAAATAACATCTGTTATTTCCAAGTAATCACCAGCATGTCATCTAGAAAGAAGTCACACTTAAATGTACCATAATGTACTGTAGGAACGTCCCAACAGGTTCAAGGTACAGTACCTGCCTTACAAGCCTCAATTATTTGAAATGCTTTGGAACATAGCAAACAAAAAAATAAAACACAAACATTTCCCACACACAAACATCTCCTCTGATGCCATCTCCTCCCCCCATCAGTACAACCAGACTGAACTTTGAAGATATCCGTGTAGTATATCAATAACAAGATCAAATTCAGAACAGAAGGGAATTAGAAATGATCCCTAGACATTTGCTTTTCCAACAACCATTTTCTAGCAATCCAATCAAATGCCCTACATGACAACAAAAAGCATAGCATAGGAAAAGAAAGTATAGCACACTAAACTCAAGGACACAAGAGTTTATCACAAAGGACTGTAACTGTGAATTGCAGAGTGCAAAAAACACAATTCTTCCTTTTTTGTGGAGCATAATTAACACTGCAATGGTGATGCACGAAGATGTGATTACAAGACATTATTCTGCATACAGTATATGACTATGGGATTCTGCCATTAAATTACTCTTTAGACAACTGTCCTAATAAGGAGCACAAGTGAAAGAATTTGGTGCCACTTACATATCCACTGTCTGTCTTTATCAAAACATAATGCTTTTCTTAAAAATATATTTTTTTCTAGTTGGTACATTTTAGGGTACTTTAAAAGAATCCTCCTATTATGTAAAACAAAATAAAGTATATAAATGTTCTCCGTTGTTTTGTTATAAGGATTTTGTTGTTTCTGAAAAATATTAAGCTGGGCTGACAAAATCATTGAGTTGAAAAAAGGCCTAATTGTGTGTCAGAACAGTGACATTGTGAAGTTAGCTCAAAGTAATACCAGTTCTTCTGTTTTAGACATAAAACCCAGATCACATCGTCCAAACCACTAACTGCAAATCACAAGCTCAGTATCTGATTTTGGGTTTTCACCAAGCTGAAGGAAAAAGACTCTGACAAACATGTCAGCATCAATTACTGCGTTTATAATTTGCGACTGGTGAATTGATGAAAGATTTGATTTAATTCTAGGCACAGATAAAGCTGTTATGCTGCCAGAATGTCTAAAAGGAAAGAGAGTGCATTTTTTAAACTCCATGCATGTATTCGTTCAGATATTATTTACCTTTGTATATGCCATTCCATCCTCTATGTACCTCACCTCTGATTGATATTTCTTCTAGATGGGCACCCTGGTCCGAAGTGAGGTACACAAGTGTATTCTGGCTCATATTAAGCCTGTCCAAAACATTCATTATATGACCTGAGAAGACAGCCATGAAGGAAATAGCAGAAGATAAATAGTCAGTGATTATGAATTCATTTTTTAGCTGCTAGCCATATATGAAGGTACAGAAATTCTGAGCTTGCACATTAATATTGCTTAATTGTAAAAGATACCAATTTACACAACATTACATTATTTCCATCATCAGAATACATCCAACTGTTATTTTTAATTAAACCAGGTCAGGGAAATGATATCCTTGTGTTAAAATATTCATATCACAATAACATCTTGTCAGCTTGTGATATTTAGCTTAGGTTGAGAGCAGTGAACTCTAAGCAAATGTCAAGGTGCTCATCTACTGTATGATATGGAAGAAGCACAGAGATTTAGAATATTAGATCTCTTCTTCCAAAATGATCAGAGTTTGTAGCCTCTTTATGCTGCATAAAACCAGACATAAGATGACTAAAACACTTCAATGTCCAAAGAAAATAAAAAAGAAGTGTTTGACCAAATGTTGACCAAATATCTAAAGAAGCAAGTGTGCATTCTTTGACACAACAAAAGGAAAAAAAAACATATAGTTCTGAAAACTTAAAGCTAGCATATAATGTATAACATATATAAACATACAATACAAAAAAGGTCAATTTTGGCATTGTGAGTAGAAATTTGCCTAAATAAGAAGACAGCCACCACGTTCCCCCCTAAGGCAGCAGTATGAAGAAAACACTTGTAAGTAACATGTTTTTCAAGGACTGCAGGTTTCCAAAGTGCTTCACAAACCGCCATCAATTACTCACCCCGCTGTTCAGCCATCTTTAAATCACACTGTAAGAGATTACTTGCTACATGTCTGCTAATGCTGCTGTGCACATGAAGTCCCTACTGTGCATCTGTCATCCATAAACACCCTGATCCAACAATTAGGTTTTTTGTGCATCGTGCTGATATTGATAAGAACAACAGCCAAAGTAGCACCTCAGGCTGCAATCGGCAATCAGGCTGATTTGGGCTGGAGAGCTTCACACTCCACCTTTTAAGACATAACCAAGTAAATGCCCGTAGTAATAAAGCAGAAGTGGCACTGAAAACATCACTGTGAGGAACCAATTTGTTTAGTGTCTATCCAAGAAGGAACGCTTTTAAGAAATTCACGCTACTGTTCAAACGTTTAGAACCACCTTGTGCAGAAAGACGAGGAGAGAAAGCAGTGTTTAGTCTCCTTCACTCTACTCTAATCAGTCAATGCATTCCCTAATATTTATGTATCCAAACACAGATATCTGTCTCCTCTTTTATGACATATTGCAGACACAGATGAAGATGTTTTCTAAATCTGATGGCAGTTCAACAGGAAAACTGTACAAACTGTAAGGATGTGTAGAATTCTTGATAAAAAATGTTTTTCTAAAAAGAATAATGAAAAGAGGCAAAGGAAAAGAACATACTGTATACACCATAAATTATAGGATAATCCAGGAGTTACAGTATAAATGTATTTACCAACCAGCAAAAAACACTGAGAAGTAACATCCTTAAAATTCCACTTTTAAAAAGAAAAGGTTTCCTTGCATAATAGTACATACAGTATATGATTATCCAATAGAGCATAATCTAGACCAGAAGCATTTGGTTTCTTAGCAACCAAATAAAACTCATTTCAACCACATTCAACCACCTATGTGGATACACAAAAGGCACACTTTTAGTCCTAGTTTATTTTATTATACTGTGCCTTGCACAGTTTCCTCCTGCAAAGTTTCAAAATTGTATTGTGATCTCAGCATTCAGTCATGACCCTTTCAAAAGAACCTCAGTTTCATAAACTACACAATCCATGCTAAATTAATAAATTTTATGTACTGTAAATAAAATAGATTTTCAGAGACAAAGATTCTCAAAAGTGTAAGTATCCAATCCCTCTGTTTCAGCAAGTATAACTCACTTAGGTATAAAAGATTAGTTTGAAAGGTCACAGAATTAGTGTAGTGGTTTACCTTCAATTCAGAATAAATGATCACTGATCATCAAGTATTGGAATGTGTACAATACCACCCAACACTACCCAGATTAGACTGCCCTTCCAAGCTGAGCATGCAGGTGAGAAAGAAACTGGTTAAAAATCACTACCAATCTAGCAGAGTCTTTGAAAGATCTGCAACCATGTTTGAACAAGATGAGTGTCAGGGGTCATACAAGTATATCAAATCGTTATCCTTGCATAAAGCCGGCAGGTAATGGTAAGTGGCAAGAATAGAAATCATTACTGAAACGAAATCTGCAAAGACGCATGCAAACCTACAGTAACTGAATGCTGTTTTGACCACGATTTTGGTGTGGTGAGTATAGGTTAAGTCCTCTGTGATGTTAACTCCCAGGAACATAAAACTGCTGACCCTCTCCATTGCAGTCCCATTGATATAAATAGGTATGTAATCTCCTCCCTGGTGTTTCCTATAATCCACGGTCGTCTCCTTAGTCTTACTAATGTTCAGAGAGAGGTTGTTCTCCTGGCACCATGCTGCCAGGGTTTCAACTTCCTCCCTGTACACAGACTCTTCACCATCTGTGATCAGGCCGAAGACTGTTGTATCGTCCGCAAACTTAACGATGGAGTTTTGAGTTATGCCTGGCGACACAATCATGGGTAAATAAGGAGTAGAGGAGAGGGCTAAGCACACAGCCTTGGGGGAATCCAGTTTTTAGAGTCAGGGTAGAGGATATGTTGGTGCCCACCCTCACCACCTGTGGACATTCCATCAGGAAATCCAGGATCCAATTACAAAAGGAGGTTTTCAGTCCCAGGTCCTGGAGTTTGACGACAAGCTTTGAGGGCACTATGGTATTGAATGCTGAGCTGTAATCAACAAACAGCATTCTCACATATGTTCCTTTCATATCCAGGTCTGAGAGGACAGTATAAAGGGCAGTGGCAATAGCATCCTCTGTTGACCTATACCGCTATTTACCCACAGTTTTTGATTTAGGTATGTGTGAACAGTAATCCTGGGAATCACGTCTTCAATGCATTTATTGATGTAGCCAGTAACATAGTTAGCATTGATATTATTTCCGGTAGCTTCGCAGAAGATCTACCAGCCGGTGGTAGCAAACATTGTCCAACGTGTTTGTTCTGCGCGTCAGGCAGCTGATATGTTGATGTAGATAAGGCATTGTTTTCTGTTGTTAAGGTGACCATGTAATTCATTCAGTGTCCTTGTGAAATTTTCCACACCACTGTGAGAACTACCGATGTGAATTCCCTTGGTAGATAGAAAGGGCGACATTTTATTGTCAGCTGTGCAAGATGTGTAGAGCATGATGTTGGAATAATCTCCACGTCTGTGCACCATGAATTGTTTACCATGAAGCATTTCCCGCCGCCTTTGCTCTTCCCTGAATCCATAGTTCTGTCCTGATGATGAATAGAAAATCCTCCTGGGAGGACAGAAGTTGTCATTAATGGTCCTGGGGATAGAGTGTGTTAGGGTGATAGGGAAGCACCAAAGGAATGCGGTTGTTAGGCCGGGAGTTCCTGATCAAGTTGATGGTTCAAGGGCCGCTTCTGGCTCAGGAAAGGGCCCTGTCAATAACACACATGGGGTATCCTCTGTTGATGAAAAAAGTGTGCATTTTGAATGCTTGGTTCTGGAAATTGATGTCATCACTGCAGAAAGTTGGCTCATACCTTCCCCATTCTCTCAACGACAGTCTTGTTTTCTTCTAATTCTCTCTATTCACCTGTAGGTTTCGTTTCACACCTCTCCTCACCTCTCACAACCTCACACCACTTGATTGGCCACTCTGCGTCTCCCCTGCTCCCTCCTCCTCCTCTCTCCTGTCTTTTGTTTTCCCATGCTATATTATCTTTGCTGACTGCCCTATCTTTCTTACACCCGAAGAAGGCTCCACAGCTGAAATGTGTTTTCTTTCTTCTCTTTTCAGCATGGAATAAATCTATTACTTGTTCCTTTGGAGCCTACGCGTGCTGACGCACCTACCAACCTGAACTACTTCACAGTAATTGCTGTCTTTCCAGAAAATGCTGACTCAATTAGGAAATTTCAAATTGTATACTTTCTTTGCAGTTTTTGCTAACATTCAATATCATTCATATACAACAGGGTTCCTTCTGATCATAAACATTTTGAATAAAATTTGTATACATTATTTTTAATTCTACAAAATGTGACATTAGTGGTTAGGGGTAAAAACCTTTGCAGCACTTTGTTAACAAGGGAAGATAGCATCTAATTGGGTGTTATGAGGTCACAATAATAATCATTGTAAGTCCTCAGTGTTCTGGGAGTGCCAGTACCAGTCATAAATTATGAAACTGAGTTAAAGTAATACAAAAATATAATGTAGTAAAAAACACAAAAACACTAAGAACATACACCAGTATGGGGATAGGAGATGGTCTACTGATGAAGGTTCAGCCTGCTCAGTCAGTAAGATTTCACCCACTGTGTACACTGTGAAGGCCACAAAGAAAAAAACCTTATCTCTCACTGCATGCTGTAGATTAAAATCAAACAGAATGAGTTTAGCCTGTTTGCATCTTCCTTAAACATGATTATCTCTGATGCAGCACTCAACTGCACAACATACCTACACTCCAGTCCACCTCTTGCACTGCATCTCCATAAATGCCATGCTGGCTTGACCCCCTGAACTTCTCAGATGCAAAGAGTGCAGTATGGACTTGAACAAAGGAAAATAAAAGTATGAAGGGCTGCTCTGTGTTCCTGCAGAGAAAAATAAATCTGTCAAACTATTTTTCACATTTATTCACATTCACATTAAAAATAAACTTTTTTTCCTGAAGATAGCAAAGATCTAGCATCACTGACTGTAAAAATTCCACATTTTCTACTGTCCTAAATAAGCAAATTTACCTTCTTATCCAAACTTGCATTTGTTCGCGCTAAGGTTTCTTCAATAATTTAGGAAAGAAACAGACATTAAGCAGTTAAAACAATGTTTTAGTAATATGTTTAGAAGACAACTCTAAACCTTAAAAGGGTGTGACTAAATGAAACAAGAAATTAATTCATTTACATTTCTAAATGTAGAACACACTGTTATTGCAATTTGTATAAAAAGGTGCAAATTGAACAATTAATTAATTTATCTTCCATCACATTGTAAGAACACTTTATTATTTGATTTTATACTTTATTGCCTTTTTTGTTCTTCCTTGTCTGTGTAACTGAATGCAACCAAATGGATAAAACTAACAGTCAGAAAAGGACGTGTGTGGTTATGTCTCACCTTACCTTTAAACTACTTTCAGCAAACAAAATGAAACAAAGGGAACAACAAAAACATTTCCTGTGAAAACCACAAACATTTACTACATTTTCACACTAATGGCAAGAGACTGAGAGGGGAATTTATGAAGGAATTAATCTGACTAAAATATGTTCTGTATCTTTAAAGTTTAAATATTATTATATTTATATTATTATATTATTATTATCATATTCAGCTTCAACAATGTGCATCTAAGCAAGAGACAATGAAAGTGGATTTGCAATGAAATGTGATTTTGGAAGTCCTCTTAGAATTTAGCCTTTCAAAGTTGGATCCTCTGAATTCTGCCTTAGCAATTCTACTCTAAACCCCACATGACAAAAATGTAAAATGTTTACAGTACCTTTGTATAAACTGTACTGCTTCATAAGTCATCCTCTGTGTTAGATCCACAGAAGAAAATGGCTGCTCAACAATCTTATGATTCCTCATGAGGAAACAGTTGAAATACGGAAAAGTAAAAATGAAAATAGCAAAGAGTACCAGAATTAGAGCAACGAGGACAGCAAAGCTCAAAACTATCTTCCTGGACAGGTTGAGACACCCAAAAGCATGCAACACCAGCATAGTAATTACAGTCGTTCCGATGCTTTTAAAGGGTATGTGGGCAAACAGGTTGGAGAACACAGTGCCATGGCCGGGCTGGCAGTCTCTCAGATTGGTCATCGTAATGCCATAAAAATAGTCAAAGCCATGATTGTTTGGATGGTGGCAATAGTCATTGTTCTTTTCACAGTTCAACCCCAAGTGCCACTTTCCTACAGTTAAGAAAGAAAAGAAAGAAGTGAACATAGTGGCTCTTGCAAAAGTAACACACACGTATTAAATAAGTATGATTTAGTGGAAAATCCAACCATTTGACTGACATTTGCCTTCAATTGTTTCACACAGACACGAAACGTTGTTTCAAACAAACAAGAGGACCGAAAGTAAAAAATCCTGAATCATGGGCCAGGTACTATACCTTAAGGAGGGTAAACAATCTTGTTAATACTGTCCCCATTAAAAGAACAATTAGCTCTTTATTAGGAATGAGTCTCATCAACTTTAGAATATGTGAGTCCCCCCGCAGAGAAAGAAGTGAACCAAGGGAAAGCTGGAGAGGTGGATGGAGAGGCCATGGGATGAGAAAGAATGCTCATATTAAATGCAAAAGAAGAGGGATCTGCACAGGCAGATGTTACAAATATAGATATGTAATGTTTAAGAAATTAGGCTGCGATGATTGAGACTGTCTTGTCCTCACCCCTCTCGAATCTCAGTTAAAAACTTCCATTTGGGCATCAGTGCTGTGAAATTATACTTAAATGAACAAAGACAGAGCACTGTCAACAAAACAAATCTTTTGACTACAGTCTTCATTTTGATATCGCTAAACAAGAACACATCTATATGTACAGTTATTTGAATATCATGGTCTGATAATCTCAGTACTATTGTTTAGGAATGTAAATGAAGAACATGAGGAAATAAGCAAGGAAAGGTAAATGTGGAAATATGACATTTTAGAAGAATGACCCTTCAAAGGAAAGACAGACTCCCGATTTTCATTGAAAAAATAAACATCTCATATGCCAATGTGACATATGGGATAATCCTTTCCTCAATAAAGGAAGACATCTTTTTTCATATTTTGAACAAAATGACAGACTGCCAATAACTAGAACTGACCTTATTACAGCCACACATGGATTTGTAGATATCCTGTTTCTGAGAAGCACATTGGGGAAATAAACTTCCTAAGTTACATCACTCTCCCTTCTGACTTGCTGCACTGCGGCACATGTTGTGGGTTTTTTCCTACTTGCACACATTTCTGACCACTATCCTTCTAAATCGGTGTCCATAATTTTGGGCAAGTAATCCACACCCAAATACATACAGTACCATAAACTCTCAACAATATACTCCTAATTTTCATGAGGAGAAATACAAGTCATTCTGCTTTCATAATGAAATTTGATTATTCCTTTTATCTTCTATCTGGCGCATACAAAGAACACAGTTCTCTTTCAAGCTACAGGAGAAAGCTGTCAAATGCCTCTCCACATTGAAACTCCGTCCTGTGGCACTGTTGGACACTCTGTGATCTGGGGCTAAACAAGAGTTGCATACTTGCCCTATTTACTATGCTATTTATTTGATAATGTCACCTGTGTGACATACAGCAGCCAATCTGCACCAGCAGCACCACCTGGGTGACAGACAACAGGCATGGTGCACAAGGAATCAGGAAGAGAAATGAGGAACCGCTTCACTGATTGAATTAAAGAAGAACACTTAAGTAGGCCGTGGTTATCATCCCTGCTCTTTAATGGCCTGGGAAGATACAGCCCATGAAAAAGGAGCTTGGTGTTCTGCCATGAAGGAAGCTGAACAAACAGCAGCACATTACTGCCACCCCTTAAATGACAACAGAAGGGAACCTGTGGGCTAGATGGGCCAAATGCCCTCCTCTCATTTGTAACCATTCTGATGTGGAAACCGATTTTCAATATCAACATTATTTGTGCCTGAATATGAGTCACAGTCGTTATTCCAGTCCTTTAACTACATTTACATTTATGTTACTATACCTTCATTAATCTCTCTGTATCACTGATCTGTCTGTATATACAGTACAGTACACTTACCTATGAGTGCTGTGGAATAGCCTTTTTGTTTGGCAAGTTCAGCAAATGTTACCTCCTGTGTTGGAAGACCTCCTGAAGCAGCAGCTACTATGTACACTCCTACTTTGCCATAGCTCACCATACCTGGAGAAAGAGTTGGAACATTTGTTGAAGAACACAAAACCAAATACAGTCTGACACAGCTACTAAGGAAATCATGTTAAATGGAGACTGAGAAAACTCCACTACATACGGTTTTTACTTTTTTCTTGGATCCAAGATCTTTAACAAGCATACATTTAGGATAAATCAACTATATGCAAAGAATAGATTAACTTAAATGAGTCTTACTCAATAAATAAAAATAAATGATTTCAAATATCATAAGTGTACCTACTTATGGTATAAGTATTAAGATAAGCTGCAGATACAACAAAAGTTCAAATGTGGTTTATTGCTCAAAACAATTTTAACTATAATACTAATATCACACAATTATATAGCAATATATTTGATGGTATAAATAAGTAGCATAAATCAGTATACCATTCTACAGCTTTCTGATCTGTTACAATAAGAGTTTCTCACGTTTTCACTACACACAAGCTGTGTTGCTCACATCCCTTACATGTACAGTATGTATTGTATTGTAACGCTTATAGCCGACAGGCACTGTGTAAGTGCCGGCGTACCAGAGCAGGTGACGTCACCTCCCTCCCCTGTGA